CAAAGCAATGTAGGGCGACAGTGATTTGAGCAATTGATAATAAATTATAATCAAGGGAAGGAACAACAAGTACGGAATCAAGGTTAAGGGTATTGGAAAGGGAGACAGTGCCTTCCCCAATAATGGGGACAACATTACCATTGGCAACACTCACGACAGTTTTGATGGATGGTTTTAGGGTTTGTACCTGTCCAGGATCACAAGTCATATGTTCAGTAGCACCAGAATCAATTATTCATGTATTATTCGTAACAGATGCAGAAACTTTTAAAGCCTTACCATCGTTATAGTTATGTTCAGAAGCTACCTTAGTTTTTGTAATCAGTGCACGAGTCTAGACAACCATTGCTCTGGATGAATTTGGTGCAACACATATGGATGATTGATAAGGTCAAAACTTCCAAACAAAGGTCCTATAAAACAAAAAAATAAAAAACCAACAAATTTCCTTCTTTTTTTTCCTCTTCCTCCCTGCCATTTTTCTATTTTTCTATTTTTTTTTCTTTTTTCTTCTTTATCTACTTTTCTACCCGTCATTCTTCTTGATTTTCTTTTCTTCAAACAGCAAGTTTTTCCTTCTTTTTTTTCGGCTTTTTAGCCAAAATGGTCCTTGAGATTTGCAGAACTCCTCACTTTGGTCCCTAAGATTTCAAATCAATAGAAGTGGTCCCTGAGATTGTCCACCATCCATCATTTTGGTCTTTCTGTTAAAAACTCCATTAAGTGTCCCAGAGTTCTTGGCCAGAAGTTTGGGCAATTTTCAAAGCATCCTAACTCAATCGTTTCTTAACCAAATTCGACCCATAATATATCAAAATGAAGATAGGAAAGTGTAGAATAAGATTATACTATTTAGAATCCCAATGGTTGCCGAAGATGGTCAGAAAATAGCATCAAAGTTGACTGGTCTGAGGAAAAACTGGAAAACTCGCCGGAAACTGGGTAAACTGTAAACGTTCATAACGTCTTCAATACTCAACGAAATCAAGTGATTCAAAAACAAAAATCATACTTCTAGATGAAACAAAGACAATGGTACCTTTTTCAGTTGCTAACTCACCGTGGTTTGGCCCAATGGGCTCAAAAGTGGTTAACTCAAGACCAAGACAGCCACTTTCGAGCCATTTTCCAGCCAAAACACGGAGCGTTAGCCACTGAAAAATGTACAATTCTCTTTGTCTCGTCTAGAAGTATGATTTTCAGTTTTGAATCACTTGATTTCATTGAGTATTGAAGAAGTTAAAAACGTTTAAAGTTCACCCAGTTTCTGGCGAGTTTTTTAGTTTTCCCTCGGAGCAGTCAAATTTAAGGCTATTTTCCAACGATCTCCGGCAACCATTGGGCTTCCAAATAAGTATAATCTTATTCTACACTTTCCTATCTTCATTTTGATATATTATGGGTCAAATTTGGTTAAGAAACGATTGAGTTACGAAACTTTGAAAATTGCCCAAACTTCCGGCCAAGAGCTTCAGGACACTTTAACGAAGTTTTTAACGGAATGACCAAAATGATGGATGGTGGATAATATCAGGGACCACTTCTATTGATTTGAAATCTCAAGGACTAAAGTGAGGAGTTATGCAAATCTCAGGGACCATTTTGGCTAAAAAAAGCCTTGTTTTTTCACAACAGCACAACAACCTTTTTTTCCTTAATCTTTTTCGCAACAACAAGCCTTTTTTCTAATGTTCTTCAAACAACAAGAAGTGGGTCACGGAGTCTAGGCAAATAAACTAAATATAGTGGCTTCAGTCGAATATGGGCATGCATAACAAATTCACAAGTCGGAATCTGGGACAAATTTCAGGCAGCAGGTTGAATCTCGGTACGTGGTGGTCGATGCAGGGAGAGAATCGGTGAACTCGGATCAGCAATGACGGCGTCGCTCACTGGTCGGATGGTGCACAGCACAACTGGGTGCACGGCTGGTAGTTTGGGTTCTCAGGTCAGCAACGACGGCGTCGCTCGCTGGTCAGACGGCGCTGCACAACTGGCTGTGCGGTAGTTATGGTTCTCCGTACAGAGGACGGCCTCGTCTTTTTGCTTTTTCTTTTTTTTTTTTGTGTTTTTTCTCAAAACTTAGGCTCTGGTACCAAGAAGAGAATGCTTGAATGGAATAATTGTATATTTCATTGATACATGAAGGGGAAATATATACAGTTGATATGCACAATCAACTCCAAAGAAATTGGGGTTGACTTCCTAACTAGGAAAATACATAAAAAAACTAAGTATACAAAAAATTAGGGATTTGTTCTGATTGAGATCTCATTGATTTGTCAACAACAAGAAAATGGATGCAAACGATGATAAGTGACCTATCGTATTGTTTCAAATAGTAAGGTGCACCAGCTTTCAAAACTAAATCATGCATAGCTAATCCAAGGCCTCTGATTTAGTCTAACCTTTACTTCTAGGTTCATAATCCTCTGCTTCAAGCCCCTTGCTTCCTCGCATTCGCCACTGAGACCACAAGAATTATCAGGAGTTGCACCACCAGCAGTTATTCCTCCAGTTGCATGGGGATCATAAGGTAGTGGAGCTTTGGTTTGATAAGACTGCACAGGTAGTCCAACTTCATTTTGATCTCCTACTCTACCTTCGGAACCTTCATCTCTTTCATTAAGACTGCACAGGAAGTTCCATATGCTGATGAGTGACACAAAAGTGTTTATGGTCTGAGGTTTGTAACCCAAAGCTTCGTCAATTTGGCCGAGGTTGTCGGTAGCAGTGAAGCTCGATCCAAGTCCAAATAATGTTGCAATGAATATGAGTAGCATGTCAATGCTCAAGATTGCTTGTAAAATGGCGTAGTCTTCTCCTCTTGGTGGTTTCTGAAAATGTTTGAGAACAACAACGTACCTATCGGCTTGATCTCTTGATCCAACTCCAGTTCTTGTGGTTCATTGATTTCGTTGTCCTTGTTCTTGTGTTTCCTCTAAGTCTATTCGACTAGGTTCTTGTTTCGACAGTGTCCAGCTGACTAACTCCTCTCTGATGATAATCAAGAGAGGAATCAAAAGCAGGAAGCACACCAGCAGTCGTAGCTTGGGCTGCCCGGGGGAAGACAACCAATTTCTGAGTCAGAGTTATTGCCATGAGAAACAAGGCAAGAACAATCGACACGTACAGAAAGCGATAAAACACTTTTGAGTTGTCGTTTTTGCTGTTGATTTTTAGCAGCTGCTGTGATTTTTATCGGACGAATCGTGCACAGAAACACAACTGAGATTGCAGCTGGGAGCCAACCGATGAGAAGAATTAGAGCTCTCTGGTCTTGAAATCCATACAATGCTAGATATATTTGGGTGATGATCGCCCCACTGAGGCCGATGTACCCTTTGAGGAGGCAGATCATGATGCCGCGGCTTTGTGGGAAGTTTTTGACGCAAGTAACCATAACACCTGTTCGCAAAGCTCAGAGAATTTGTTGCAATGTACATGTAGACACATGTGCCAGATTTCCGGCTTCGCGATCTTTCCCGTGACTCCTAACCACATCGTGAAGTAGCCGAAGAAGTTCGTGGCCGCACCATTGAGGAGCTCAAACCACGTCGTTGTTACCTCCGCTATTAAGCCTGCGAAAATGCCGATGTTGGCCCCAAGGTTCTTGAAGAACCCCAGCAGGTTGAGGGTTTCTTGGTCATAGCCAAAGGTGGTTTTGAGCTCTTTGGAATAGGTTCCAAACAGATAAATTGTACCTAAATCAGACATCACCATCAACAAAGCGAAAACGGAAAACCATCCGCTTTTTGCCGCGAAAAGTATCGGTAGGTTTCCGGTGCACCCAGTTGATGGTGTTGGTGCTGCCTCACTATTTTGCTTAGCTATTAGTTTTTGGTTTGGGGGGAGGAATGGAAATGGATTACATGTTTTACCATGTAAACATTATTATCTTGCTACCAAAAAAAGAAACAAAAATCAATATTCACTTGGAAAATTGTTTTTGCTTGGCATTTATATTTTTTTCTTTATCAGAATTCTTAGGCATTATCCTTAATAAAAATCTTAATAATTAGTCTTATCTTTTTTTGTTTTTCTAACGAGATTTGGAGATTTTTTAGTATACTTAAGAGTTTTTGCCGTTAGATTCTTGGTCAAAGACCATGATCCAAATGCCAAAAATCCAAAAGTATAGGGAACCATAGAGCAGCATATAATTTTCGTCAAATTAGTTACACATTTTCAGGAGCCTCGGAACCACCAAACTGCAGCAAAATCCCATACTCCAGAAAACAGCTAGTGCTAGACAATGTTTTAAAAGGCTCGCCTCAGGGCGCGCCTAGGCTCGCCTCAGGGCGCGCCTAGGCTCGCCTCAGGGCGCGCCTAGGCTCCCTGTGAGGCTGGACTTGAGGCTTGCTGCCTCTGTTTTTCAGGGAGTGGGCGAAAGGCGTCGCCAGAGCCGCCTAGGCGTGCCTCAGGGATTTTTTTTTTATTACTCCCAAACCCAAATTTTGGGTGGGGTTTTAACTACCTCATACCTCTTCCTTGCACTATCATCTCTCTGCCTTGTTTTCTGATTTTTATTTTTTATATAATGGATGTGTGTGTCGTCTGTGTGCATTATTATATATGTGCTCATTGTGCTTTTCATCATCTATTTTATATATATAATATAATATGTGTATATATATATATGTGTGTATATATATTTATAATATGTGTGTGCTCAGGATAATTATTGATTAATAATCTTCTTTTTTAATATAATATATGTGTACGCTCAGTGTATATATTAAAAAATTTAGGTCTCGTGAGGCTTCGCCTCACGCCTCACACCTAGGCTAGGCTATCCCTTGGACGCCTCGCCCACATCTTACGCTTTTAATACATTGGTGCTAGATACAGTTAAATTAGGAAGTAAAATAAATAGTTTATTTCTCATGGTAAAGTATTTTTCCTACCTTTGAAATTGATTCAGATTGAAAACTCTTACTCGAGTTTTCGGGTTCCAAATGATATGTATAATCGTGCGCGATATGTTATAAAACTAAACGTAAATCTTGTTTATATGTTATAAAACTTGCCTTGCGCTCTAAGCCAAGTTCATCCATCCATTCACATTTACAAACAAAAGAAAAAGCAATACAAAGCAATCTTGACAGGGTTTAGAAATTACATTTTACACAACACAGCAGAACCATACCCCCGAAAACTTGAAAAGAGAAGGTAGTATGAAGCGAAACCTACGGGATCTAGAGATAATGAAGAATAAAGATGTAAAAATACAAATGAAAAATCACTGCACTAAGGCACACAAGGATATAGTACAGCATTCCGGCTCTGTATATATTCAAGAAGAAAAAACAATGAAGAGAAACACTACCGCAATTGAGCTTTCCTTTCACTATCCCTCTTGGTTCTAGGGGGAGTACAAGGGGCAAGACGGGAGCTTTGGACTGGCTCTGTTTCATGGTCATACTTCTGTGAAGCAAGGTAAGTCAAAGCTGTGACGACATCAGCTATAACTGGCCGCATATTAGGCTGCTCCTGAACACACATTGCTGCAACTGCAAGAGCTTGGTACAAGCCCCTTTGGGGATACTGACCCTGGAGCGTTGGGTCTGCCATTTGTGAAAGTTTCTTTCGGTCATTAAACAAGGGTCTTGCCTGAAACAACAAAGTAGTAACATGTGAGTGTTAAATATCAGAATAAGTTCTGATTTGCAGAATTCTTTATTGATGGTCACTCAAATTATTAAGAATATGAAAGAGCTAAAAAAAATGGGAATATGAAAGAGCTCAAAAGGCTTCATTATTTAAAAGAATATGAAACATGTGAACCGAACGGAATTTCTTACCCACGCAACCAAATTCTGTTCTCCTGCACCTCTGGTATTGTCAATCGCTGTCCTGCCTGTTATAATTTCCAAAAGAACTACGCCAAAGCTATAAACGTCTGATTTAAGAGTCAATTGCCCTGTCATTGCATACTCTGGAGCACAATATCCATACGTTCCCATTACCCTTGTAGATACATGGGTGTTATCCCCAACAGGCCCAAGTTTGGCTAAACCAAAATCAGACAGCTTTGGATGATACCCTTCACCAAGCAATATGTTGGAGCATTTCAAATCTCTGTATATAACAGGAGGACTTGCTTTGTCATGTAGATACTCCAATCCCTTCGCTGCCCCAGTGGCTATTTTCATTCGCGTATTCCAATCAAGTCGTCTCTTACCAGGTAACACATCTGCAAAAGAAGCTTATGAAACCAGTTCCACCAAAAAGCTAACTAATGAATCATTAAAGGTTAAGAAGCATTTGAAATTTGAAAGTTAATGCAAAAGGTTATAGATACCATGTAAATGGTCGTCCAAAGACCCTAGGGGCATATATTCATAAACAAGAAGCCTTTGATCTCCATCCGCACAATAACCAATAAGATTAACAAGATTGGGGTGGTGAAGAAGACTCAACATCAACACTTCAACAAGGAATTCCCTGTTCCCTTGTAATCCATCACGATCAAGTTGTTTGATAGCTACTACCTACACCAAACACAACGATAAGTTTCAAATTCCATGACCAACTACATCGATCGCATGTTAGAAGGTAAATCTCCTAGTAAGCTAGAATCTTCATCCCATACTTTGCAATCTGTAGTCTCTATGAAGAAAATTTCAAAATAATCATTCCCCAATCCACCCCAACCCGAAAAAGGAAAAAAAAACAGCCTTGAAATATCTACACACACATATATGTGTAAAGTACTCGTAAAACCTCTTCAGGCTGCTTAATTGTTTCATGTTCAATGAAATAAAAAGACAACCATGAATAACCTGATTTGTACTTTCCAAACGTCCTTTGTATACTCGACCAAATCCACCTTCACCCAAAAGACATTCTGACCTGAAATTTCTAGTTGCAGCTGCCAATTCACGGAAGACAAAAGTCTGTGCTGCAATGTGATCAGACCCTCCATCTTTTGGATCCTCCTTGACACTCAAAATGGAACTAGTCTTAGAAAAACCTAAAATCAAACATGGAAAAGAAGTGAGAACTTTTAATAGATAAAAACTATGAGTGATTTCATTCACAACGGAGAAAATAACCAACCTATAAACTTCTCATAAATATAGCAACTAAATTGTAATAAAGACTGAGCATGATTTTACGGATGATGCCAAGCTAACTGAAAACAATCCTACATGGCTATAGAACAATACTTGGCTACTCAAAGACGAGTGGGAACTCATACTCAAAATTTTCCTAAATTGTTCGTTGTCAATTTATAGAACTTCGTGTTTATAATTAACCGTTCATATTATAAATCACTCTATAAAGATCGTCTCTGCAAAAAATCAATTAAAACTAAGGTTGTTTAGTCATCAAATTATTTAAAAACAAATGAATAGTATTGGTAAAAGCATTACGAATCGTCTATGTATTTGCTACAATAGATTGACTAAACGACCTTAGTTTTAATTTATTTTTTGCAGAGATGATATTTAAAGTGTGATTCATAGTATGGACAGTTCTAATCATAAGCATAAAGCTCTATGATTAAAACACTAAGAGTTCTAAGTAGGATTTCCTACCCATCTTTGAGGAGTTAAGTATTGTTCATGGCTATATGCAATACCAGGAGTATAAGCTGCATTTCTGACAAGAAAACAGCAATAACAATGCTACAAAGATTCCTTCTTTACCAGTGTATTGTATGATGTGCCATCATAATTCATATTTAACTACAACAACAGTTCATACCCTATCAAATTCAATCCCAAAGTTATCTCAAAATTTGAAAAATTCTACTCAAAGCCACTAATCTGCATACTAAAAACTGAACAAAATAATACTTCACATGAAATATCTAATCTTCTGCAAAATTTAAAAGAAACCCAGATGGATAAAAACAATTACCAAGCCAGTAAATTCATCTGTTAATCACCAGCAGCACAGATTGAGGTAAATTTAGATAAACCAGTAAGTACCTGAAGTGGGTTTGATCTGATCAAGTGGCTTATCCTGCAACTCAATCTTGTTCTTCCTTTTCTTCTTGGTTTTTGCTTTACAGTTGGAATTACCAGAACAGGGAATCATCATCCAACCCATGATTTTATATTGCTATTTAAGAAGCCAAAGACTCAAAAAGAGAAAAAAGCAGCAGTTAGAAAAAGCAGTCTCCACAGAGACTATTCAAACTTTCCCCAACTTCCCCAAAAGCAAAAACCCCACACGAGTTGCTCACCCAGATAACGAGAGCTTATAAATTTGTATATCGAAAAGCTGGAAACTTTAGAACACTCTCCCTTCCTTGTTTATGTAACGTTTTACAATTATTTTGTTTCCATTTCCCAAAATAAGAGATTTTTCAATATGTCAGCAACATAGTTTGGTATAAATATAATAATATAATTAGTTTAAAATTTAAAAATAAAAATGTTAACCAATTAAATTATGATATTTAATGGATGAGGCCATCTTCTATCTTCTGAATACACCGAAAAATTTCTTTTTCCGGATATTATTTTCAATCAGAAAAATCGTGGGGCCAGATGGATGGAGAAGATTGAACCTTTCTATGATTTTTAGAAGAAAGACTACGTGCATCACCCACACTTTTGAATTAATAATACGGTAATAATGTTATTCAAACATACAAAATTAATACGATATAGTTTCTAATAGAAGTAAGTCTCACACTTTCGTATGATATATTTATTTTTAACTATATTCCTAACTTGTGCAACGATGGTAATTATTAACATAAATTGACTAATGGTGGATTATTCTGGTAGTTAGAGTCTTCCTCTTTAATTAATTGAGTTTCAGGTTCAAACTACATTCCCTCCTTTTACTCTTAATATAAATCAGTGCATATCGCTTGTAATAAAAAAACACATATATTATCTGAGAGGTGTGTGCAAGTTCTTTCCCAGGTTTCAACTATAGGACTCAACTATCCAATGATATATCTTCTTTACAACTTACAAGAGTGTTATGTTTTTTTACTTATCCTTTCAATTTTAGTGACAGTGACAAAGTAACAGCTGGTCACAAATGGCTTGTTTTGGACCCTCCATTTGGTGCACACTGTTTATTGTCTATGTTCAATAGAAAAAAATCAATAGAATTGTATTTTTGTTATGTGACTTTGATTTGATGGTGTTGGTCACGTTCTTATATATTATAAAAATTCTCTGTTTTGGAACTTATGCGCATTTTCGAATCCACCAACTCTGATTTTTTTTTTTTTTGGTGTCATGAGATATATTTAAGAATCTGACACCAAATTTAGGTAAAAGATTTAAACGACTATATTGTTTTTAGGGATGTGCTATCCACAAACTCTTTTTTACTTCTCACATACCTCTTGTTAATTTTTGTCCGTTGATCTTTTTCAATTCATCCGATCCGACGGTCGGTGTGAGAGAAATAAAAAAGAGTGTGTGGATATCACACCCTTTGTTTTTATAAGAGAAAGCACGCAGAGTGTATATATTGGTGTCATTTGATTTGTGATATATTTGGTGTTGTGAAGTTGGACTTTGATTTGTGTGATCCTTTCCTCAACTTATAAAATAAATTTAATAAAGCATTGAAATTTAATTTATATTTATCTTCTTGTAAACCAAAAAATCATCACGTAACGGTTTTATATAGAAATGGTATTTCCTATAAATTATATAAAAATACCTTCTTTAAAAAGACAAAGAATAACTTTCTTAAGGAGAGAAACAGTAAATAATTGAATCATACTACAGAGGTTGGTTTGGATTTAGTTAAGTTGGATAGAACAATCATTTTAGTCAATTTTGGCTAGAGTAGTTTTTACACTAAAGTTTGAATCTTCTGTTCTGTAATTTAGATAAATTTAATTTAGAATTTTGCTTTATCAAAAACTCAGCTAAAAGTCTCAAACTCTGTAAAAAAAAAATAACTTTGTACTAGTGTGTATAGTCAGATAACCAAGTTCGAAAAACTTAAAACTTTTAAAATAAGTCAATAAGGTATATGAAGCTAACTGTTAAGCGTATCAATCCCGCATAGGACAAAGGAGGAACATTGCATTGCATGTGTTTATAAGTAGTTGGGCTACCCTCTAAAAGTTCATTTGGATGTGCTTTTAAAATGACTGAAAGCTCTTTTGGTGAAAATGTTTTTAGAATCAATCATTAGTAAAAATGTAAGTAAATCTTAAAAAAACATTTAAAGTGCTTACTGAAAGAAACACATTATTAGTGCTTCTTGCAAAAATCACTTTAAGTGCTTTTGGAATCGAAAAACATTTTCTCTAAAGGCACTTTCAATCATTTTAAAAACACATCCAAACGAGCTCTAAATTGTCAATTAATTTTATGGTAGAAACTCCAACTTTCTTTACTAATATCCTTTCTCACGTGTATGTAATGAAAAACCGAAGACCTCTAAAAACAGGAACTTTGAAGTCATGCCAGATAATCATTGAACTCAGAAGACATCAACACTCTGATATCATATTAGAAAATCACGAAACTCAAAAAACATAACCTATATATCATAAATTAATATAATAATCTTGAATCCTCCTACTCCTCTTAATGTTAATTAAATACTTCAATGATCCCTACAACTAGAAAACCATGCGAGAAGGAAATAAAATTACCAACCAATCATCTTAGAATATGGTCCTTATACATTAGATTATATCCGTTAGTTCTTATGGACTATTGACTTTATCGACCAAGTATCGCAAAAAAGTTCCATATGGCATATGGAGTGTAGTGCCAATGCAAATATTGATCTTCTCAATGAAGTTATTTACGCCAGAAATTCATACAACTTTGACCTTGGTCGGTTCCCGTCCGGACTCCTCCCACAAATTATGCCTCGGCAGCCGCTTCTCATAACTTCTCCATAGAACACAAATGCACCTCTGAGCTCAGGTTCACAGAATCATATTAACAAGTCAAGCCTGCAAAATAAAATGGTATAAAAAGTTGGTGCTTTCTTTCTAACAAATAAAAAAAATGATAACATTTGTCTCGTTTTCTTGGAAGTAGCCGTTTCAACATTCGTGCTAATCACATTTTGATACGCATGTAAAAAAGAATTTCTATTTGAGTTATCTATCCATGTGCGTCAAGCTGTGATTTACAAGAACAAAAAATGGCTCTTTCATAATAAGAAGTGGATCAATGTCCAAAAACAAAATAAGATTTTCAATAGTATTCCGGACTATGGGATACTCTTGGTGTTTTAGTCGTTAGATTTTTACTTAAAATACAAAAATAAAGATTTGACAGTTATAACACTCGGAATATCTCATACTTCTAAACACCGTAGAATTTTTGAAGCAAAATGGAGAATGAATGAATTGACAATATGATATGAAACCTTAACATAGTAGCAACGGCAAGGGATGCGTGAGTTAGGGTTAGGACAACAGAAAACTTCCAGAGGGTGATTAAAATTAGGGAGTGGAAAGAGATGACACATGAAACGTAGTTGGTGGTCAAATGAGGGTTCTAATTCAACCGTTACAAAATCCAAGATTGGGGATGGGCTAATATCTGAGCTTATTTTAGACCAATCAGCAAGCTTCGAAGTTTTACGTTTCTTTTGGTTGCGTTGAAAAATCAATCTTAGTTTGCACTCCTTCCCGTAATGTTATGCTTTCATTCTCATTTTATACACTCAATTATAAAATACAACTTATTTTCTTGTGTAAATGAGATATTTTATGTTCGAATATGGTAATTGATGAGTTCAATACCAATTTATTCCTCTCTCCTCTTAGTATAATGTATATCGTTAGATTAAAAAAATCATCAAAGCGCAAAAGTAAGATAACACAAATTGAAAAAAAAAATGTAAAACTACTATTAACAAATCTGTAGTTCAAACGAGTATAATCTCTATTAGAAATGTAGTCTACAAGATATGGAGCTTAGGTGCTTGAATGTTGAATATAGATATGAAACTAGAGATTTAAAACAACTCACATAAAAAAGCAAAACTGCAAATGCATGAACGTAATAAAGACTGAATTTGTAACTCGTGCAGTTAAGAGCGTTCACTTCTATTCACAATTTTTTTTATTAAGCCATTGTCCCCTCATACTCCTTGCAAAACAAAGAGCAATAGGTTCTTCAAAATTTCAAAGTTGCTAGGATGTAATAACCAAAATCTTAAACGTACTATAATTGTAGTGTACAACTTTTTCTGATAACAAAAATAACATAAGTACTCTGAATTTGCTTGCAATGAATTATCGTACTTCTTTCAAAAAAAAAACAAAACAAAACAACACAAGTACCACCCACTAGGAAATGAATAATCCTTAAAGTTTACTCTCTATCATCCTTATATTATCAAGTCATCAACCTAATAACTGCCATTAACATTTTGTAAGAAAGTTTTGTTATGTGAAGTTGCCCACGTGAAATTATTGGCATAGCATTTAATACAAAGAAAGTAAAAATGTAATACTCTGATGAGCTAATTGAAGTCAACAGGGTTTTTTTGCCAAAATAGTTTTTGAAATTGATATAACTTCTCATATTGGTCCCTGATATCGTCCACCGTCAACCATTTGTCATTTTGTGAAAAATCTCCATTAAATTGACGAAACCACCAATTCAAGTGGAAAGGTTAACTTGACAAAAATACCCTCACTTTAACAGAGATTTTTCACAAAATGATCAAAATTATTTACGGTGGACAATCTCAAAAATCATTTTGACTAAAAAGCCAAGGCAGCAGCAACGATGCGGGAAATTAAGCCAAAATATTAACACCATTTTATGTCTCCAATCCATCAAGCAGCCATCAAAGAGATTCCCAAGTGAAATGATTGGCATTGCATAGCAGAGCAGAGCATCCAAGGCGGGAATCAGAATCACTGCAGCAGTTACTTTTGGTGTCTGTTTTTTACTCTGAGCCCATCTGACATTTCTGTCGGACAAACATGGGGTTGAAACAGTTTGATGCCAAACTTTGAATGTGATGTTGTCACTCACTCATGGCTTTTCTTTAGTTGTTGTATCCTTCTCAGATGCTCCTGCGTTCGTGTTCCTCAGTGGCATGTCGTGGTTGTGCTTTCCCTCGTACGTGGTGATGAAAGCTTTGGGATCATCCGAGACTCTTTCGACATGCTTGCGCACGCTGCATTTGAGACTGGTACATCTGTAATAACTTCTGCAAGATCAAAAAAGCTATGGAGTGAGCACTAGCTAGCCACAGAGAATCTTCTGTCCCACTGCAGATGTCATGAATGCACAAACAGCACTTGATGAACAACTTAAGCAACTGAGTCTTAACATAATCCATAGAGGTTGCTTATATATTGGATTAGGATCTCATTCTGAAAAGTTATGTCTTGAGTTCGGATTACCAAAATACTTCGTTATCAACAAAAACGGGGGCAGATTTGAGACCTCATCAACAACATGAAAAATATTAGTAGACTAAGAGCTAGAGGTCCATTGTACGTATGAGACAGGTGAGCGCACATGCAAGAGGAAAATTAGCCAATTGCTCTAAGAGGTGTGGATACAATTCCTAAAAAATTAAAGAAGAGTTTTCACTCTTTCTAACCTGGGATATGGATTTCCCTTAACAACTTTCTGCCCGTACTTCCTCCAGCGGAAGCCATCACCCGTCATATCAGATTCAACAGAATTTTGCACCACAACACGAGGATCTTGGACACCTTCCCCTGATATCCCTGCTTCAAGGGAATGATTCTCACTTTTTCTGAAGGAAAATCATAGTTAAACATAGTCAATGATATTAACCTTGAACAAAGTATTATGATAGAAATGCTCATCAAGAATCAAGATATTTCAAACGCATTTTTAATCCAAACATTCAGGGGTCAATCACGGAGAAGGGAATAGACAAAAAAATGGATACAATCCAGCACAGAACAAAAGATGATAAGTGACTATCGTATTGTTTCAAATAGTAAGGTGCACCAGCTTTCAAAACTAAAGCATGCATAGCTAATCAAAGGCCTCTGATTTCGTCTAACCTTCTTTTACTTCTAGGTTCATAATCCTCTGCTTCAAGCCTCTTACTTGCTTCCTCACATTCGCCACTAAGACCACAAGAATTATCAGGAGTTGCACCACCAGCAGTTATTCCTCCAGTCGCATGGGGATCATAAGGTAGTGGAGCTTTGGTTTGGTAAGACTGCACAGGTAGTCCAACTTCATTTTGATCTTCTACTCTACCTTCGGAACCTTCATTTCTTTCATTAATATGACTATTCAATAGCCGGTTGTTGGTATCTTGACCAGTTCCATTAGATGGTACGCCTAACCCTTGCGTCCCTGATGAGCTCCGCTTTGGAGGCTGAGGCTTTGAGTGGTTGTGTTCCCCCTTGTACACAATCTCAGCAATCTGGCCATCCAGAGATCGTTCAACCTTCTTTTTCACAGGACAATTTGGATGAGTGCACTTATAGTAACTTCGGGGGTACTCACTTCCTTTGACTTGCTTCTGTCCATATTTTCTCCAATTATACCCATCATAAGAAGGCCTATCAGTATTGGCTGTGGATGGTATAAGTTTCAGATCCTCTTCCATGTTTTGTGAGGCTATTTTCGGAGGCTCTGTTGTCTGATTTGTCTCGGCACATGATGGATTATTATGGTGCAGATTTGCGCTTTGGGATCTAAAGCATTTATCTTGATTTGGATGTAGAACACCCACATTAACTGATGATTGTGTAGATTGGTGGCTGGTATTGAAGTTTCCCTGGTAAGAATGAACAAAAAGAATTCTGTTTCAAAATTCAAGGTTCAAAAGTTTCACCACATTTTCAAAGTTCCATGTCTTTACACAATTATTCAGTAGCTACTGACCATATTTGCCAAGACAGAAAAGGTTGCCCTTGAAACAACTTTTGCCAATGGTTTATATATCACAGTTGATCTGCTATCTGATTTCGAAACCTGCTCCGATGAATGACTATGTGCTGCACCAGAGATATGTGCCTGAAATTTTTTAGCACTAATAGTCAGAAGTAAAGAACTTCTCAAAAGGAACAAGCACTTTTGGTAGAATTAAGATCACCTGGGAAGAAACCAATCCAGCGACAGTATGATTCACCATTGGCTTGAACCTCACGGTCTTTGGTCTGATGGCAGGAACAGCAGTTTCAGAAGATACATTCAAAGGAGAAGCATCAATAGCTCCTGCAAGAAGCTCCGTGAAGGACCTAAAGGTGGAACAAGTTGGCCTTGAAGCAACTGGTTTAGCTATAACTACACGCTCTGCTTCCTTAATATCCATTTTTTCCAATGCTTATGTTATGTTCCAACTAGTTATTTTTGATGTGTGTCGTAGTAGCATGAGATAAAGGAAAACATGGAAGTCCCACCATCTTATGCCTGGAATACTCTGTATATCTTTCTCCCCGAAGCAATAGAAGTTACAAAGTTGTCAGGAGAAGTTGCTTGATATGGAATAGTAATTAACCGATAATTGAGGAGCTGCTACTGCCAATGTTGGCTCAAGATGTGTAAAGTTCATCTACTTGAAACCTGCATGAGACCGGGATTATATAGAAATACTAAGATAAATAATAAAGTAACAAGACGAAGAGTCAAAGGAGTCTTCAGGAGTTTAGCATTCTACAAAAATCAGACATTGAAAGGTACAACCTTGGCTTAATGCATTTATTTTCGATCAAGACAGAGCATTTGGGATTTGGATTTGGGGCATTGTGATAATCTCCGAAGAATCCCTCTACTCTCGTATTCTCATTGCCATTTCAAAGTAATGCGTGATTTGAGTAGGAAAGGCAAGCATACAGATTTCCAATTTCCTAACAAACGTGTTCACTAACTTCCCGGACTAGGAATTCTTTCCATCGAAGTAATGATATAACTGCCGAAGGTTGCACCTTTAAGTCGAGGAACATTTGTACAATTTAGTCCACTTATAAGTTATCAAAAACAGATTATGCGCTAACAAGCTCCTGAATACTCATCTAGGTCTCTGACATGTCAATTTCAAGTTTTCTATGGCCATGGTTGAATGCATAAGGGATTTGATTTCGCAAAAACCTCTGTTTGAAACTTTTTTTGCACTATCCATGAAACTGTTTATCAAAAGATAAGCATATAATCCAAGTTCACATCTTCAAGCAGGGATAATGATGCTCATTTCTTCTCCAAAATAACAAAATCAATAATGTCTCAACTAACCACTTAATTTTTTTTATACAAAATCTCCTGAACTCGATGTTAAAATTTGAAACAATTTCAATCCTCTCTATTCAAAGATCATATTATGAAGTTGAACCACACATATCAAACCATGACATGTTCAGTACCCTACTAGTGACAAGAGCAACCATATGTGGACAAGATTGTAATCTTACTTCCCCAATCATATAACTTTACACACATTAGAAATATTTTCTTCCTTTCTTTCCAAAAGAAAGTTGCATCAATTAAAAACATTAAAACAAAATAAATCTAATAAATACACAAATCAAATTCTCCGAATTATCGATGAAAGTGCTGAAACACAGAACCGCAAACCAACATACTTTCTTCCAACAAACACAAAAGAACAAGAAACTAAATCCCAAAATAAAAAGTTTAAGTCACAGATTTTGAAGAAAATAATATTAGATGCAGATTAGAGGTATGGTAAAAGTAAAAAAAAATTAAAAAATAAAAAAAAATAGTCAACAAATTCCAGAAACTCTAAGAACTAAAACACTTTGCAGAAGTAAAAAGGAAGTACCAACTGACCTGAATGGCTTCAACTCATAAACCCAGAAATCTGTTGGGTCCACTAATCTAAACAAGCCAAGTTTATAACACTTCGCTTACCCTGCATTGCACCACCCCCAAATTCATAAGAAAACAAAACAAAACAAATAAAAATTTCAGCTCTAAAAATAGAAAAGTTTAAAAATTATTTATAAAAAAAGTGACATAAAAACCAGAGCTTTTACCTTGGAGAATGGAGAGAGAGAGAGAGAAAAAAAAAAGGAGAGAGAAAGCAGAAACTGCTTATGAAAACAAAAACCAGGATTAATCCTACAGAAGGAGTATTGGGTACGTACTGCTGAAGCACATGTACCGAAACGCAGCGTTTTCACTGGTCCTGGACTTCCCAAGAGTTTTTTTAACAGTGTAATGGGGGGAGGGAGAGAGAGAGAGAGAGAGAGAGAGTTCTGCAACAAAATTTCAACACTTCTCACAGGAAAATGGAAAATGAGGAAACCCCAACAAATTTTTCACCTATATTTTAATATTTCCGTAATAAAGTTGAGTCTTTGGCTTTTAAAATCTTGCTTATAGCAAATGCAAAAATGGGCTCTAAAGTGGACAAAAATGGAAACAGAAAATTGGGTTTTTATTTTCTAATTTATGTGTTTTTATTTTTGTGGGTCTCAAAAAAAATAGTGAGGGAGTAGGGTGGTGTTGTTGGGTTGAGCAAGGAGCCCTAGAGGGAGTGGTACGTCCAACTAACCGTCTCTCTTTCCCTTTTTGACTCTATTTGAGCACTTCCAGTGACTCCTCATGGTAATTGGCAATTGAATTCCCTCCGATGAATATTAATTATCTTTAATGAACAATAATTGTCTTTTACATCTTCATCATTAAATTGAAAAGTCATGGCAGTAGGTAATAAAATATTAGTATTTTTTACTCTATAAAATAATAATAAATAATTTAAATTTAAATTTCGAATAAGATTTTTAACCGATCTCGTCACGTCACATGTCATTATCCGAAGGTACAATTTTTGTGAATAGATTTCGATAAGATTTTTAACCAATTCTGCTACGCACATGTTCTTACCTATTTAGAATCATTGAAAATATTGAAATGTGGTGTAACGTGAGAGAAAATGGTAAGGCATTTACAAAAAAAATTATAATTTTTTTAAATTTTTTTTTTTTGGTTTTTTAATTAGTTTTAAAAAATTATTAACTTATTAAATATGGACCGTCGGATTACAAAAAATTTGAAATCCAACAGTCCAGAATGAGACACGTGGCCCACCTAAACATTTTTGATTTTTTTTTTCTAAAAAAATTTTAAAGTAGAAAAAACTGAACCGTTGATCTGGAAATCAAATGGTCCAAATTCAAAGTGACTGAGTGGGGCTGACACGTGAGCCCCATCGTCCGAAAATTTGTCCGAGACGCGCCGCCACGCGCGTGTGTTACTTACGCGCCTAACACAAAAAATTTTATAACATGATTGACGTCAACCTTACATCACTCCCCCTCAGGCACTTGGGCCTTGGACTCCCGCTTGCTCTTTCCCATAGGCTCCCCCTTAGCCCAATTTCCCAAATGGGCTGGAGCTAGTTTGGGAGGGGATTGGGTTGCAAATGTTCCTTGTCCACCGGGCTAAAGAGCACGCTGGAAGTGCTCTACAAACAACAAGGGCAGCCCCACAATTTGACAAATTATCTAAAACTACATTAATGAAACCTTCTTTGTTAACCAAAAGAGAGTGAAATGACATCTTTGTCTTCTATAACAACAAAAAAGTTAAGAATAGTAGCATAATTTTACAAAACATTTTTTTTTAACTCCACCTACATGTAAGTTTATCATCTCTAATTTAAAAAAATAAAAACAACATCTCTCTCCTCACTCTCACATTCTGTCTCACTCTCTTCCTCTCTCCTTCAATTTTAACAACCAAAGTAAAAAAATTCACACACTTTGTGTGTGGGCGTAATGCCCTGGAGTTATTGGTGAGTTCGGTTTTACTTGGATCCATTTTTTTGTCAAAATTGAAAACTAAATTGAATTACTGTTTGGTTTGGTTTGGTTCAATTTTCTTTGAGGTTTCTCGATTCTGTTCATTTTAAGTTCGTTTGTTTTTTTAAAAGAAATATGAAAACCGAATGCTTCTGTTGTCATCGTATCATACAACACTTCGACTTGAAATGGATTGACCTAATCAAATTTGATTCTACTTCTAACAGCATCACAAGTTCATTAGTAACTACATCTTTTCAAGTCAGAACAAAAGTCATTTCAAGTACCTTCCCCCTATAAACAAAAAGGAGTAGGATTTGCTCCCTCCTATTCTCTCCCTCCTTTCCTCGCTTCCTATTTAAACAATTATGATTAAGTCATGTCAAAATTTACTTGAACTTGACCGCCTACTTATATGTTTTTCCTTGTGCTTTTCTTTATAGAACACGAAGATGCAGACATAGATGAGGCCGTGAGGGATGGTAAGGACTGAGGAGGAGCACGAGTGATAAAGTGCAAAGGACTGGAGGTGGAGGTGCCACGAAGGAGGGTAACTGAGTGAGGCATGAGGATGAGCGTTTGGGTCACTTGATAAAAGTAAAACGACAACGTTTATAAGGGTGTAAGTAAAACGACATTGTTTTAAGGATTCTTTAGTTAGATTTTTGAACCACCGGAACTGAAATCAAACCAATAGATTTTGGTTCGGTTGGTTTTCTAATTCGGTTCTTCTTTTTTTTCGATTCGATTTGTTTCAATTTTCGGTTTTTTGAGCCCACCATACTTGGAGCCCACTGGGATAATGTAATGTTGTAGGAAACTGTTATCCTGATAGGACACGTGGCAGTGTTGGATTCGCTGGGTTCCTAGTAAAGTTTGGGGTCTATTCTAGTGATACTGGTTAGTGAGGGAAAAAGACTTGATTAGCCATGGATGTTGAATGTGGATGAGGGAAAATGGTAGGGTGAAAGGATATTGTTTACGTATCAACTGATACGAAATGCCACCTAAGAATATTATCCCTGTTGTATGATTAAAAATGCCGTGCATGTCATGGATTGGTTACCATGTTCCATATTTGGCCTATATATTAAGTTTATTCGACTCAAAACATATATATGGGAAATAGGAGGTGGTTAGGTTTGGGTAGAAAAATCGTAAGGCATGGGGAGTTAGGTGAGGCATAGATGGGTGTGTCAAGTAGAGATTTTCTAGAGAGTAGGTCATACTTGAAAAATGAAGACATCTCTCGCATTAACATAGGAGGTTTATTGAGATGTCATAGGCTCAAAAGGCCTTCATCATGTTCTCATTCCTTCTAATCTTTTATTCTTTCATAGGGATACTTTGGATACGGTCCCTAATTCTAAACATTTTTTTATTAAAACCTTAATGGTATTCAAAGTTTGATCAAAGTCCCTTGACTTTGTACACCTCATTATATTACTATTAATATTTATATTTTTATAGTTTTGACATTAATTGTTTGATATTTTATGAGATTTATAATCCTATAAATTTAAAATCCCTCATTATAAAACTATTATAAATGGTTACAATAAAAGAATTCAAACATTTTGATTGAATAAATGGATAAAAACTATGTAAAAATAAGAAATAATAAATGGCAAAAGAATGTATCCATAGTGTAAAAAAATTGGTACATTTTACAAAAAAAAATTGGTACATTTCACATATGTACATTAATAAAGAAGAATGGGTACATTATAAATAAATTAGGGTACATATGAAAGATTAAAAAATTATGAGTACAAATGAATTTTTAAAAAATATAGGCTCTAAAAGAAATTAATACATGGGTACAAAATAAAACTAAAAAGAAAATACTACAAAATTTTTAAAAAATGTTGCAAATTAAAAGTGGGTACAAACTAAAAATATAAATATATGATACAAAGTTTAGGCATAAACAAAAATATACCATATGTAATTTTTCTATCATTGATTAGATATACGATGTCATGTGATGGTATACACATGGGAACACACACAAATAAAACTTTAAAAAATATGGGCACAAAAAGAAACTAATATATGGGTACAAATTAAAAATGAAAAGAAAATTGGCACAAATTAAAAAAATATTTGCAAATTAAAAATAGGTACAAACAAAAAATAAAAATATATGATTAAAAAAATTAGCCATAAATATAAATATACTAATTGTAACATTTTTAACACTAAAGGAATATATTTTAAAATAAAAATATTTTATTATTCAAATAATTAATAATGTTATTAATACCCAAAGACCTTGATCAAAAATTAAAAATGAATAAGATTTTAATCAATGGAGTAACAAAAAGAAGGATATGAACCTAATTTCTCCAAATTTAAAATGTCCATCCCATATTTATAGATGAAAAAACCTCTTCCACATTCCAACTTAATTAATTCCTCACCCACATGTGTGGGACTTCCTCGAGCATCAAATTATGAAGGTGATACATAAATAGAACATCAGCATTTATTACAAAAAGACGAAATCACAGTGTCAACCTAAAATAAATCACAAGAAAGGAAGAAAAACACATTGTCAACCTCAAGAATTGAGATCGATCCGTGAAAAGAAGATACCAGTATATAAAAATACAACGAGAGAATGTGCAAAAAGATGAATGCCATTGACTTAAATTATAGACAACAAAATTTTTTAAAACCTTCTGCAGTAATCTTCTGCAGTAATCCTCAATGTGTAGCATGCAGTACAAGAAGTAGCCCAATAATCTGAAAGAAGGGATAGAGTAGGACGTTGCCAACGTACTCTTCCCTTGAAACCCTACCCATCTGCATTTTGTTTATTTTCTTCTTCTTTGTTATTTTCCACTTTGTTTAGTTTGGAATAATTAGTAACAATGGGAGTGCTAATTTCTCTTTTTGATATAAGCTATAGCAGGAAACGGAGAATCGAACACTTTGGCACATAAATAAAAATGCTCTAAATCAACTAAACTATAATGGCAGCGGTGTTAATGTTTAATGCACTTTTGGATGATGAAAGTATATGATGCTTATTATTCTAGTGTTTCTGATGAACAATATTAATGTTAGTTTTAGTTTCCAATCTCAAAGTCAATTATTAATGTTAAGATCAATAGTTTTAGATATTGAGGAACTTGGGTCTAATTTACTTAACTTCATTTTTTCCACCGATCTCAGATCTATCTCTAATGAGATGAACACTTGGTAATTCGATCTGGAGGCACTTAATGATCATATATACTTTTATTTTGTGGATAGGAAGAGGCACTTATATATTGTTGGTATATGGTCCAGCCCATAATCAATGTTTTAGATTATTCTACTAAGCAAGTGAGGTGGCTGGAGTATGCTAGACAATTCTAGCATGTTATTAAGTTGATGGAAGAAGCTAGAGAGTACTAGCTTCCTTGGTTGCAAATGGAAAGATCTAAAAGCTACAATGTTGTGGCTAGTCTAGAATTTTCTATACTAAAGGTTTGAAGAATACACTAGAAACTAGTAGAATGCCAAACCCTTACCTATAAATATGGGTGTGATGTTGTA